TGCCTTATGGATTCAACTTGCCTTCTTAATTCCATAAAATCTCCTTACCCGCCCACAGCATGTAGATATTGCGCACTTTGCACACTCTTCTCTTGGTGCTCACAATTTTGCTCAAAACGCATCAACACAGTTACCACACATATAAGTCTCAACAAACCTCTCCACCTCGTTGGTGTGGGACGTCACAATGACCCCCTCTTGGTACCCAGCATTCTCACTGGCCTGACCCGTATGGGCTTGCACACACCCCACTTTTCTGGTTAGGGATTGGCTCTCATATAATATGTCATGACCCATCCAACCCTTGTAGATATTGTCCATTTTGCATACTCTCCTCTCGGTGCTCAAGTTTTACTCAAAACGCGTCTACATGTTTAAGGGGTATCCTCACTTAAAAATGCCAGGAACTTCTCCCCCCTAGGCAATGTGGACATCTCAATCACCCCCTCTTGGGACCAGCGCTGGCCTGACCGGCATAAGCCGATGCATGCCCCCACATTTCCGGCTGGGGATTGGCTCTGATACCATTTTTTCACAACCCACCCCAACTCATGTAGATATTTTCTTTTTTGCACGCTCTCCTCTCATTGCTCACGGTTTTGTTCAAAACGCGTCTACACACTTAAGGGGTGTCCACACATATAAACCTCAACAACTTCTCCTCCCAAGCAATGTGGGACATCACAATCACCCCCTCTTGGGAACCAACATACTCATTGGCTTGACCCACATGGGCCTGTGCACACCCCTATTTCCAACTAGAGATTGGCTTTGATACCATCTGTCATGATCTGCCCACACCGTGTAGATATTGTCCATTTTGCACACTCTCCCCTCTATATACACGTTTTTTGCTCAAAATGCGTCTACACAGTTATGGGGTGTTCACCCATATAAGACTCAACAAACCACCCCCCACCCAGCAGGCAATGTGGGACATCACAACATCTCAACCAAAAAATCATCAGTGCACTAATTTTATTTTGCCACTGCATCAGTCCCTCCGGGTTGGAAATAACTCGACCTCGAGTTTGGTTCACGTGACTCATCGTATATTAGTATGAACAAGATTTCATGCCAATGAAAACTTTTTCTTAATGCTACAAAATCTTGCTCCAATGATTTCATGTCTAATTGCATTGTTCGAACAAATATGAATTTCACCTTGCCTCTAACTTTAAGTGGACAATCAAGCCATTTTATATCCAAGGGACATGCTTGAATGATCACTTCATGGTGAACTTTCATACTGAGATGACTGTGAGCTCAGTCCTCATATTTCCAAACCTCGAGGTGCTTGATATCATCCTCAAAACTGTTAGTAAGAGAAGCAAAAAGCATTGCACCAAAGTTGAAATGGAATTTGGTTGACCAGTGATGGTTCCATGTTTCGATGTCAAGTAAGACTACTTGAGTCAGCTTGCAGGCAGGCCTTCAGACTTAGGAAGATTGTACTAACTTCAATGTGACATCACCTTCTGAATGGCTGAAATTATAGCTTAACCACATTGGTCGAATTTCTCAAAATCAAGATCCATAACCCGTTGACCCGAAAGGAAAAGTTCAAATTTAACCTTAATAATAAAACAAAAAATTCTTCTTAACCCCTCTTAATTCCTACTCTCTGATTTCCTCTCTGCTTTGTCGTCTTCAAATTATTTATTTTTCAAAAAAAATTCTCATACACAGACACCAAACTATTAGAGAAAACCTATAGAGATTTTGAGCTCTATTAACACATAAATTAACTAACATTCAATTTGGGGCAACAGGAAGAGCGTGAGTGATCAAAAGGGCTGAGGGTTAATGGTTTCAAGATAGCATAGGAGAGATGAAGAGAAAGAAATGAAGAGGAGAAAGAAGAGAGAGGGTTAGTAGCAGATTTACATCAATATGTTATTCAACATGCTTTTAATGGTCTTTGGTGACGAAGCAAGGCCAGTTTTGTTAATGGTCTTTTGTGTGTAGTATGGCACTTTTGTATCTACGGAATGACCAAACTAAATTTGGGTGAAGAAATTTTTAAGTACCGTTGCAGATTTAACTAATTTTCTGCTGGCAGCTTTCTGAATTTTTTGAAACTTCCCATATTCTGATTTTTTTCCATATTCTGATTTTGGAAGCTTCTCTGATTTCTGTAATTTTCTGATTTTCAGTAACTTTCCTTTATTGTAATTAAGCCAATTATGGCTAGAATTGCTAGGAGACTCTATATAAAGGGTACTGGAGAGGTGGTGATTAATTTTATTTTTAATAGATTAGCAGCAATGATTGTTTGATCGTTTGTTTTCCTCTAAGAAGCACGGACACGGATATGAGACACAGACACGACACAACACCGACACGGCAAATCCAAAAAAATTAGGACACGGACACGGCGGGGACACGGCAAATGGTATATATATATATATATGATGCAATACTTTAAAAATTACAGAGTGTTACTATTTTTCATCAACCTCACAATGAAAACAAAACACAAAATCATAACTCATAACTAATAAACTATAAAAGAACAATGTTGCAGAGTTATAAAACCAAATAAAAAACAAGACATTAGAATAATAACTAGTATCATTTAATCATCATTGCAAATTTACTCCAAATACAAAAGTATAGACAGAAAGGACTATTAAAATTCATGACTGTTTAACATTCAGGACTTTACTGTTAGCACTTAACATTCACAAAAACCTAAAGGCTAGTCCCCAAAAAAGATACAAAAACAAGTCAATGTACTATCATCTATTCCCATCCATCATTTGACCTAGGACTTTTACCATTTACAATACCAAAAAGGTAGTACAAAACAAAAACAAAAAAAAAAAAAGAACATATCAGCATTCAAAAAAAAAAAAAAAAATTTTCCAGAAGCGTCCGTGCCGTGTCCGTGTCCGTGCCCGCGTCCGCGGAGTGTCCGTGCCGCGTCCGCGGAGTGTCCGTGCCGTGTCCGAAAATTCAAAAAAAATAAAAAATTCCAGACACGTTTTTTGGCATGTCCGACACGTGTCGGGGCGTATCCGACGCGTGTCCGTGTTGGACACGTATTCTTCGCCCATTTTGGAGTGTCCATGCTTCATAGGTTTTCCTCCTTGTTCTAGCATTCTTTTCTTTCTTCGCTTATTTCTTTCTTGCTTTAGACGACAATTGTTTGTCCTCTTGGTAAGGCGGCATCAGTTTGGTATCAGAGCTTTAGGTTCAGCTTTTCGACTGTGTAATCATGCTTCCACGACAACAACCGAGAAGAGAACGTCATAGGATGCAAGATCCAGCCAAGCCCTTACCCCAGCAAGTCACAAACGAAGTCGAGAATCTGCAGAGACAAGTTGAGATGTTGAACCAGCAATGGGCTCAACATGTTATAATCAACCCGTCGGTTGATGACAACTTTCTGATGGAGGATGACCTGTCCAACATCAAAACTTTCGCGAAACATCTGTTTTATATTTCGTGTCACCATAGATTACCCAACGGTCGGATCGATCATCGTTGGGAGGCAAATATCAAAATTGAGATTCCTGAATTTCACGGGAGTCTAAAGGCAGAGGAGTTTATCGATTGGATAAATACCACTGAAAGAGTTTTTGAATACCACAAGATACCAGAGCACTTGAAGGTCAAGCTTGTAGCTATTCGTTTAAAAGGTAAAGCGTCGACATGGTGGGAGAAATTACGCGTTACCCGAAAGCATAAATGTAAGCCAAAGATTGTAGAATGGGAGAAGATGAAGAAAAAGTTGAACAAACAATTTTTGCCCTTTAATTATGTCCAAACGATACTTATCAAAAAAATTATGTCCAAACGATAAACCGACATTTTCTTAATGTGAGGCAAGGAGGCCGTAGTGTGGAAGACCTATCAGAGAGAGTGAAGAACAGATTGTGGCACACTATATTAGCGGACAAAGACTCAACATACTAGAAGTTCTGCTCTCGCATTCATTTTGGTCAGTTTCGGAGGCTTATCAATGAGCTTCGGTGGTGGAGAAACAACAAAACAAGCAGGTTTTGCGCTCCAGCAGCACTTCACAAGGTTGCAGCGCAGTTTCAAGTGCAAATCAGCTTCTACAACAGTGCGAAACGAGGCCCAATGTGTGGGACAACAGATAGCACTTGTTGATGGGGTTAAATAGCAGGCTGCCACTGTTGAAAACTTCAAAATTATGGAGGGCCAGCAGGCCAAAGTCAAGGTGGAGCCTGTGGACTGAAGTGTTGCAAGTATGGAGAGCCTAGCCATAGATCGGAGTGCAGAAAAGATGAAAAACTGATTTTGATCGAAGAAGATGATGCAACCCCAGAGGTGATGTCACATTGAAGTTATAAGCTATAATTTCAGCCATTCAGAAAGTGATGTCACATTGAAGTTAGTACAATCTTCCTAAGTCTGAAGGCCTGCCTGCAAGCTGACCAAGTAGGCTCACTTGACACCGAAACATGGAACCATCACTGGTCAACCAAATTCCATTCAATATTATAAGCATTCAAGACATTACCTTTGTAGTAAAGGAAGCATCACAAAGCTTGAGCAATTACACTGATCGGCTTAAACTCCACATGAGCACATTTCCTGAATCATCAGTTTCAACGGACTTCTTTTTGGAAAAAAAAAAATCAGTGTCAAAGTGTCCCTCTGTTGTTGGTGGATAAATGTTTCAAAATAAGGCCCACAAAGATGGTTACCCCATAGAGAGCGCAGAACATCACCTCAGAGCGCGACTCACTAGTCCCTACCTTAAACCAAAGCCCCTTTCTAATGCTTGAGTACTTTAAGATTTCAGATGTAAGAAATGGTCAACGTGAATCATAGTTAGCAGTAACGTTCTACAATTTAAAATTTTGGTTCAAATTCCTGTAACTGAATTCAGCATAAAATATGTAGTGACTCGAGCCTCATCAAAATATTATAACTGATTTTTTGCATAAAGATGAAAAAGAAAATTGTATTGGTAAAAACATAGCATCAATTAAGGAAATATAATGAGAATTAAAGATTTTGCATACTATTCGTCGAGTTTCCTCTGGTTTTGGGGTAAAATTTTCCCTTCCATTCACTAAATCCATGTACAAGGGAGGAAGTTGCTCAACCAATGGAAGAACTTGTTTCATAATGTGAGGGCTAAGGTTCTCCAACTGTTTCAGAGTCATCTCTGCCTGAAAAGATATTATCAGAAAAGATCAGTTTTCCATTTAGAAATCATTAATTGCAACTGTATTGTTAGGCTGCAAACCAAGCATATGATTAGTATTACACCAGTAAGACATGATGTTATTTCTATATATATACACTAGTCAAAAGATTTGTAGTATTACTTTGTAAAGTATGATTTTACAAGAGAAACAGAGTTGAAGAAATTAAATTCCAAAAAGTAAAGGATTGGGCTGAAAAGGATGAGAACTCAAAATTTTAAGTCCGAGCAGCTATTTTGAGCAAAAAATTGCCAAAGGTTAGGTAAGCCCCCAAGCCCCAAGCACAGCGTGTAGACAAGACATACACAAAATGATGCACTTCAGTTTCAAAAAACGAACGACAACAGTCTGCCCCTACCAATTAACTGAATTACTAGATTACACCACTGGTGATGGCCTTTAAGAGAATATAAAAGTAGCCTAGAACTGGAAGGCGGGTGAGGAAGAAGGCAGCAAAATTAGAGTTCCAATACGTTTTAGTTTTATCTACTACAAAAAAAAAAAAAAAAAAAACAAACAAACAAAAAAAAAAAATATATTCCTAGCTACTTATTTCGTGGTCAAAACTTGATCAAAAAAACCCCTAGCAACTTATTTTGTGGTAACTTGATCATCAAGTTGTAATTTTTATCAACTTGAGTACCGATTTTGAAGATTGAGTGTTCACCACAGGATCAAACCTTGGACAATTTGAGTGTACAACAAGGAAACTATTTTTCAAGCTGATTTTGTTTCCGACTCCTATCCAAACACAGAGACGTCCTCGAAAGTATTTTCGCAACTTTTTCAGTATTATCGAGGACTCTCTAAAGTTATAAAAACTCAGCATTTATCAAGTTCTATTATTGGGTGTTCTGTGTTTTTTCTAGAGAAATCAAGTAAAAAAATTCTTAGTTTTGTTTCTTTGATTTGAACAAACACATTCACGTTGAGTGCATAGTGTTGTTCTTTTTCTGTTCGTCATATAGTGAGCTTTGCTACGGAGTTATCCACTTCGATCAGAGCAAGAGATTTCATTCAATTCTTCGCATTGTTCAGTGGAAAAAAAGGCAATCAATCACTAAGAGAATTGGATCATCGTGAGGCGATTGAGTTGGCTTGGATTAGCATTGCTGGTGATTCCAAAGGCACTGTAGTTTTTTTTTTTTTTTTTTTTTTTTTTTTTAAAAAAAAAAAGGAGGTAAAGCAACAACTGGTGCTTTCGAAGGACCTGGAGTCGGAGAACTCATCGTACTCTTTCTCGAAATAGTGGATTGATTCGCCTAAAATGGTTAGCCTCCGTGGTTTTTCCTCACTGAGATTTTCCGGTAAAAATCCTAGTCTCTCTCTTATTTTGCTTTACTTTTATTTTTATTTTGTGTTCATTGATTTGGTTGTGTGTTAAATTTGATAGCATTGGAAAAGAAGCTAAAAATCAATTAAACGAACAAACTAGAACCTAAGAAGCACGAATACGCATACGAGACACGTATACGACACAGACAAAGACACGATGACACAACAAATCGTAAAATATTAAGATACAGGCACGACGACGACTAATAAATATATCTTTTTATATATGATCCTATATTTTATGAGTAATATTATTTTTCTTTTCTTTTCTTTTTTTCATTGGCAAGAAACTCGTGCACCCATTTACCCCTACAAGGACTCGAACCCTCGCCATCCCTTTTGCAAGGTAGAGGAGATGCAACTAGGCTACAGTCTTTTGGTAGTAATATTATTTTTCGTTAACCTAACAACGAAAATTTCACAAATCATATAATTAATGAGCTATAAAAATAATTAGTTTATCATTTAAAGAACTATTAAATGAATTCAATCCACAACAATATAATTGTTTTTTAAACCAAAATTTTGGAAATTTTATGTTACGACAACCATATTATTAAAAATGTTCCAAAACAACTACATATTATTTTTACACTTTAACCAATCATTTTACCTCCTTTTTTTTTTTTTTTTTTGGATAAGTATCATAAAAGAACTACACAAGGGCCAAATATGGCTCCTAACCTCTCAACACATCGACAAAATCCACCAACTCCTCAACGGATTTAAAATTTCTTCCCTAAATCCAAAAAAATAAAGACTTACGAAATGAGAACTTAAGAACCCACATAGAAGCCCCTTCTCCCTCGAAGGATCTCCTACTTCTCTCCCTCCTAAGATCTACCATAAGCACATGGGTGCCCCCCACAAGCATATCAAATTGAGACCACAACCTCTCCAAACCTTGAGCAAGCTCACTGAGGAAAGAGGAATGACCCAATGAAACCCAAACAAACCCACCAGCATGGCCCAACAATCCTGAGCCACTAGACAGTGAATAAGAAGATGATTCACTGACTCCTTGTCTCTCTTGCACATGCAACATCAGTTTACAATAATCTGCCTCCTCCTTTTCTGATTATCTATCGTCAGAATCCGCTCTAGACATGTTGTATAAGCAAAAAAGGCCACCTAGAGGGGGGCCTTGGTACGCCAATCTGCCTTCCATGGAAAGTGTTGAAAGGGAAAGAGAGAAAGAGAATATATGAAAACTTATATGTTATTGAGTTAGTAATACAATAACACAATGGTGTTTATATAGGAGAAGCTACGGAAGCAGGTAAGTGGAGAACAAGAAAACCCTACACATGGTAATTCTATATATGGTAATGAGGGGTAGGTGACAACTCATACAATACTAATTGTACACGTGTGACAACTCATACAATACTGTACAACACTTCCCCTTAAGCTGGAGAGTAAATGTCAATAACTCCTAGCTTGCTACATATGGAATCAATAGAGTTCTTGGGAAGCGCCTTAGTGAAGATGTCTACCAGCTGTCTAATAGAAGGAACAAAAGGTGAAACAGTCTCATTCGAGTCAACTTTAGATCGAATGAAATGGCAATCTACTTCAATGTGTTTAGTCCTCTTATGGTAGACTGGATTGCTAGCAATATGAATAGCTGCCTGATTGTCACAATAGAGAGGAATTGGGTACTGGACTAAAATCCCAAGTTCCTATAAAAGAGTTTTCAACCAAGTAAGTTCACAGGCAGTGTGTGCTATGAAGGTGCAGTAACCCGTGGTGGACCGTCAATCAGAAGGAGAACCGGCCCAATTTGCATCTGTATATCCCTCAATCCGAAGATGTCCAGAAGATCGATAAAGCAGACCACGTCCCGAAGCACCCTTGAGATACTTCAAGATGCGTACAACTACCTCCATGTGAGGTACCCGAGGACTGGTCATGAACTGACTCACAACACTGACTGCATAAGATATGTCTGGACAAGTGATTGTGAGGTAAACAAGTTTACCTACAAGTCTCCGATACATCTCTGGATCATCGAGTGGGTCACCATCATCAACCCTAAGTTTTACATTAGTCTCCATGGGTGTAGCTACAGGTTTCGAACTAAGATATCCAGTATCCTATAATACATCAAGAGTATACTTCCGCTGAGAAAGGCTAATGCCTTGCTTCGACCGAGCCACCTTAATTCCTAGAAAATACCTAAGTTTGCCCAAATCCTTAGTAAGGAAGCTAGAACTCAAGTGATGGATTAGAACTTGTATCCCATCTTTGTCACCGCCGGTGATAACAAAATCATCTACATACACTACAAGAATCACAATACCGCGTTTCATTTTCTTTAAAAAGAGTGAGTGGTCAGCTTGGCTTTTGGTCATACCATGAGCTACCACTGCTTTACTGAACTTATCAAACCATGCATAAGGGGACTGTTTGAGGCCATAAATAGACTTCCTGAAATGACACACACACTCCCCCTTATACTTAAACCCGGGTGGTTGAGTCATATAGACTGTCTCATTAAGGTCACTGTGCAGAAAGGCATTTTTAACATCAAGTTGATGAGGGCTACAGGACTCGGTCGATGTGTGCAGGTTACACGTCAACCGGTTTGAACCTGCACCATGAAATTGGCTACTGCCCAAATTTTTGAGATACCGGCCGACGTGTGGAATCCCACACTTCGACCGGTTCATGCTGAAATGGCCTTTAAGGCCTATTCTTGTGATCTAAGTCCCCGGCACCCTCGTTGGTCCATTTGCAACCTTAAATGTGATCTAAACCTATCCCAAAAGCATATATTTAATCGAATACAACCACAAAATAACACCCATGCATCTATATAATCATTAAACAAGCTTGATACATCATATGTGATCAAAATAAGTTCGGTTACATCGTGTCATAGCCATTAGGCTTTACAAGGGATTAGAAATCCTAACGAGACCACGAAAGATTAAAAGATGGTCTCAAAACTATTTTTATCCTCAATTTGAGTACAAGTACGATCATATACAGCTACTAGCAAAAACTAGTTACATAATCATTACAAGATCCATGCTACATCAAAAATTACATAGATCACAAAAGAAACCAAATGGCCCCTCTAATCCCGTCTAAGCTTGTGGAGGAATGTCATCCACCACCTACTTTCCGTGACCTAAAAAATGGTAAGAGGAATGAGCACAAGCCCAGTAGAGATTGCCTAAATGGCATCTCCTAAAATCCAATAGACGAAACGCATGTTTAGACACGTCAATGAATAGAGTATGAGAATAGGGATCATGCCGGGATTACACATCATCAACAAATAGCAACTAGTGTACCATCAACCATTTGAAGCAATGCAATGCATGAAATGACTTATGCAATGCATACCACACACACACCCTCGCATATCCACACCCACACACAACAAAAACGTACTAACTAGCCGGACTTTGGTACCTCCGCCGTCCTTAGGGAGAATTTGCTAGTCATCCTAGCAAAGGGTGACTCCCAACTACCATTTGAGGCCCAAGGTTGCTAAATTACTCACGGGCACCTCCCGTGTCCCTATTAATTAGTTAGCACTGCCGACAAAGGGGTACCTCCCCAACTACCGGGTTTAGGAAAAACCTTTCATCAAAACTTATTCAAAATTCACATTCCCC